AGAATATTATACGAGGGAGCATAGCTACCGAGTGAGAAGATTTTTGCATTTTAATTTGTTTAAATTTGCACTCTTAGGCCCTCCAGGGCCTAAAAGTGTGTAGCAGTCTTTAGTCAGTATTTGCTATACATTTTTGGGGCACTCTTTCGAATTTTGAGGGGGGACGTATCCCTCCCCCCCCCCCCCCATCCTCCGGGGGCTCCACCCCCTCGACCACACCAGGGGGCCTAAGACGGGCCCCTGAATGCTTATCTGACCGTTATAAAAATGCCTCATATCCCCGAGTTTCAACCCCCTGGACCCTACGCCAATTAGTGACCAGCCAGTGTCATGAATAAGGTATTAAAATATGTTCATCTGACTGTAATTAAATGCCCAAACCCCCTGAGCTTCTGGGGCTCCGCCCCTTGACCCCACGCCAATTTACGCTACGCTCTACCTGATCATAAATACGTTAGCCCCCCCCCCCCCACCCACTTTGAAAAACGTTCAGCGGGGCCTGCATGTAAGAATGGGGCTGATGCGGATTTTGTGTCTGCCCCCCCCCCCCCCCAAAAAAAAAAAAAAAAAAACGGTTGTGCTCATTACGCCAATGCATGGTCACCATTGCGTACCAGTATTTGGCTCGCATAATTTCAAATTTGCCCCCCCCCCCCCCCTCCTAAGAGATCCTGGATCCGCGCCTGCCGCCACCCCTGTCCTTCTGTTACAAATTCTTTCCCTTTTTATTATTATCATTCCGAATTATCACTTATCGTCTTCGACCATCGACTACTCTTTCCTTCCTCTTCTCTCTCTCTCATACCCATCCTCTTCGATTACCTTTCTCTCTCTCGACTGTAAAGGAAAGTCCTCCCTGATATTCGGTTTAATAAAGGCGGACAAATTTGCTCTCAACAGAAAATTTCATAAACTTGCATTTTCTTAGTTATTGATTAAGGAATAGATTTGTTTCATACGGAGGTCTTTTAAAACGTTTTTTCGATACTTATACTTAGGGTGAATTATGATTGAAAGTTTTCTTACAAGGGAAATATAGATTTTTAAAAGTTTTTCTTACATGGCAAATGGGAGTGGACCTCGCAGGATACGTTACGGGGTTTCCACTTTGTGTTTGATTGATTGGCCTTCCAAAAAATCATAGCTTTCTTATTTTCAATCGGTTTTCGCTCCAATTTTCACCGACTTGTTTCTCTCATGTGTTTTCAAAACCAACATAATAGGGACTTTTAGATTTGCGTGGACTGAAACGTGTGACGTCCATTCAAGGCAGTGCATTAAAAGGACGTCGATCGTAGCAATCCACGTTGTCGTTCGGCAAATCTAAAAGTCCCTAATATCAGGGTGTACTTCTCCTTTAAGATGTACTTTTTTTTCATCTCTCTCTTTGTCCCCTTGTCCCTCTCCGACTATTCTTCCCTCAACTCCCATCACTTCCATGTACCTTTTATTTCATTTTCTCTCTCTCTCTCTCTCTCTTTCTGATCTACATATTCTTCTCCATATTCTCCCCATCCTCTTTTCTGCACCTACGCACCTTATGCGGGCGAGAGGTGGTACATCTCTCTTCATCTATCCATCTCTCTACCTCTCTCTCTCTTTCCAACTTGTCCACGATCACAAAATCAGGAGCAGTGTTTAAGAGAGGAGCGAAAGGTGATGCGGTGTTGGTCAAGGACAGTTGTTTTTGTGAAGGGATATTTTGTTGAATGCTTCTTCAATGCATTCACTGGGCTATCTCTTTAAATTGACCACTGTAACTAGATATACTGACCAACCTCCTTCCACCCCCCCCCCCCCCCAAGAAATTATTTTTGTTTTATTTTGTTTTATAGATCTGTGACTGAACGTACAGTATATCAAGTTCTGTTTTGATAGCACATACATTCAACCCCCCACCCCCCCCCCCCCCCAACCATAAGAGACAATTCCTTGATTAACTTTTGACACTTGACCAACAGTGTGGGTGAGTTGTTTGTTTAAAAGCAGTACATACATAACAAATGAACAACTGGAGTCTGTGTGAGTATGGAGGAAAGAAAATTAGCTCAACATCTTAATTTATTTCTTTTTTCTATTTACAAGTTTACATAAACAATCTGTACACATCAGTCGCTCCAGCTAAAGAATGTATGGTTATAATCATTTGCACACTTTCTTGCTAGAAAAAAAACGAGAAGTGAAGAAAAAAGGAGGGGGAAAAAAGAAACAAGTGTGACATGAACTTCTAAAAATATCAAGTTGTACACCAAGCGTGAATAATGCGCTAGTAAAATACACCTTTTTTCACAGGTAACAACTCATACATTTCTCTCTTTCCACGACTTATAGTGAGCTCTGCCTTTAAGTCTGGTTGGAGGGATGATCTACACGCAATATAGTACAGTTTGGTTGTGGTTGAAGGTGACCAACAAACGGGTACAGGATTTTAAAGGAAACACATCAATATACATGAATATCATATCCAAAAATAGTCCTAAATGTCATAAATACAGAATACACCATTGCTTTGCACTGGTTTCAAATTATTTCAAATGAGATAGAGAAAACAAAAAGTGTTTTTTTTCTTACAATGTAATGATCGACACTTCAAACATTAAACTTCCCTAATACTTGATAATGTGCAACACAGCCTGTCTGTTGTATATAGTCTATTCTCCATTTTATACATTATATACATGGTTAAATTTACACTGAACCGGTTTCACTGCCCAATCATTAGTCAAAAAATACATTTTCATTATTTCTACATTGGTTTATATCAAAACACAAAGTCATAAATACGAACCTACATATATATATATCTCAAAAGCATTCCCAATCTTTTGTTTAGTCATCAAGTCAATCACATCCTATGTACAGTAATGCCTCACCTAAATCATTGAATTTTTCACAAGAGATAAACTAAAAGCGATACATACAACCACACAACTTCAATTTATACAATTCAATAGATATATATATTTATATATATATATATTTCTTTATGCTACATAATAAATGGGCAAACAAATAAACAAATCTTGCATTTCCTTTTGAAACAGGATGTACTTCCTGCATATCATTAAATAAAAACTTGACAAAGGAATAAGAGCAAAAATGCGACAACTATAAAATCAGAATAATCATCAATTCATTCACCTGTCTTTTTTGCTTCTTCAAATAGTATGCAGACTTGTAATTCTAACTCTAAGTTTACAAACTATTTATCTCTTTAATCGATATCAATAATGAATTCCTAAATTTAGATTGACTGACCTTTAGCTAGAGTTGTTTCAAGAAAAGATGGTTAAAGAGCTAAGCAATACTAGAAAAATTGACATCATTCTTTAACAATGTTATAAGCGGCTGTGCTGATCGAAGTTGACTAAAAGTCTGAAATTAATGAACAATAAATCACTAAAAGATTGTGCTTGGCAAGGATAAAAAACGAAACAAGAACTACATACATAATCAAGTAAAAAGACAAGTCGTTGCTTCAAAGTTACTACCAGAAAGTTGTTCTGATTAACCTATGTGGCCTTCCAATGTGTTTATTATTATTAGAAATAAATATGCTACATATGTAGAAAAAGAGGGAACTTGGGTTTAACTGTACATATATATGGACAGGTTCATCAACTAATATTCAAGCATTGATTAAAAATATGATCGTACTAATTTCCCGGTTTTGCAGTACACCTGTTTATGGCTTTGAATGAAAATAAGTACTGCTTCATCTGTATTTAAAAAATATATATAAAAGAAGGGATTACTGGCTCTATGGAAAATTAAAATGAGCAATTATGCACCTAAGCTAACTGGCAGACAAACCGATTGTGCTATCTAATTCTTGTAACTTTAATTTGGAAAGAAATGGAGAGTGCATTTGCAACTTGGCTGATGACCCTTATACATAAAACATTTTAAATACTAATTCAAATGAATTAAACATACCTACAGTCACAAAAATACATGAGACATATACTGCTCTCACCAGCATCCTGTGTCAAAATCAAATATAGATTCATAAACACTTATGTTGATTGTCACTAATCTACAGAAATTACAAAAGATTACAGTCATCTTGTTGAATACCTGAGATAATCTAAACAGAGCGACTAAACTTTTGATACCACTACAGCTAAAGATGAGTGCTGGTCATTTCAATTTCAATTTAACTGCTGGGCACGCACAAAAGAAACTGTCCAGAAACGATTGGAAAATGTCATCAAGAAAGGATGATTATCCAGTATGTAGGAGTAATTGTTTGGGCCAAATTGTCTAGGCTTATTATCAGATATCAATCTTGTTGAAAATCAAAACCAGTGAAAGCCTCTCAACACACATATATAAGATTCAAGTAATGTTTCAGACCCAATTGTTTGCTATTTTGCTGGTCCCAAACAACCAATTTACTTCCCAATTAAAAGAAATACTTTTTGACAGTTTGTCCCAAAATGCAGTATCACCAACAAAACTCTAAGGATGGCCTTCATGCATTATCTGTATAGGGATGCTGAAATGTAAAGAGATGAAAACACAAAGAAAAACCAAGATGAATAGGACTGCGTCTCTAATATGCCTAAATGTAAGTTCCTTGATCAATGTTCCTGTGACCTTTGGCATCTGACCTCACAAACCTAAACTCTTTTCATTTAATCTTGTCGTGCTCATTCATACATGTACATGGACTTGAGCCCAGTTTGGTCGACATTGGTTCAATTTTCGTTAAGTTATCGCAGTAACAAGATATTTTCTAGGAATTTTATTAACATAATCATGACCTGGGGATCTTTTACATTTGGTCTCTTGTAATCTACTCTTACACATCATTGTAAAATTAGATTACGAGTGTGTGTGACATGAGAACACAATGGGTGGTATTCTCGAAAGCGGACTAACTTTAGTCCATGGTTTAATCCACCAACTAAGTATGGAATGCTAAGTGTCCATATGAATATATTTTGGAATGATTTAATATGTCCCTAAATTACTATGATAACATAATTATATAACAGTTATATTGTTGTTTATTCATTTTGTTATTACATTTTATTTTAATTTAGTGACAGATTAAATTATTCAAAAACATATTCATATGGACACGTGGAATTCCGTACTTAGTCGGTGGAATAAACCATGGACTTAAGTTAGTCCGCTTTCGAGCATACCACCCAAAATGGCTAGATTATGTGGGTTTTTATATCTGAGGAGGGTTACTCTGAGACTAGCTGGGTATCACCTTCTCATCATAGACTGCCCTCCCATGGACGGTTTCATAAAGCGATGGTAGTTTGGGTACATTCCCGGCTGGTTGTGTTGCTGGCGGGCTGCCATGGCCATCTCCATCTGCATCTGCATGCTTTGTTGCTCCATGAAGCCTGGGGTACCACTGGCATGGTAGCTGTTGGACATCATCCTGGCCTGCATGTAGCCGTTCATGGGTGCGGTAGGGTGTCGAGGAGACGCCTGGTACTGGCCTAGGTAATTGTAAGGACGCGTGGCATTGCAGTGCGGCTGGACGGTTGGCATCATGTTTGGGTGAGGACTTGTTGGGTTGTGCGTCGGGTGTCCTTGGAAATGGCCGTAGGGCTTGTAGTTTGTAGGATGCATACTGTGCATTGCTGCTGCGGCTGCAGCTGCAGATGGTGTCTGGGCACTACCCATCTGCTGCTGAAGGTGATGTGGAAGATGTTGCCCAAAATGTTGTTGCTGTTGCTGCTGCTGTTGTTGCTGCTGCTGCTGCTGGAGGGAGATGGCTGGATTCATCTGATTGGGATGTGTCTGCTGCTGTGGCATCTGTGGTTGATGTAGTTGCTCGGCCGCCGCAGCTGCTGCTGCTGCTGCTGCAGCCGCACGTTGCTGGTGTTGCATTGCACGTCGTTCATGCCTCAACGATGGTGTTCCACTCTGGATGTGCTGGACCATTGCTTCATGTCTTGTTCCAGATGCTGGTTCTTGCCTGCGAGGGGTCATAGTTTCTTGGCGCTGCTGAGGGAAGGTACCCTGGCGGTGAGGTGTTCTAGTGTCTTGCCTTGGTTGTGCGACGGTCTCCTGGAGATGTGGTGTCATGGGAGCCTGCCTTGCCATGTTGTCCATGATATGAGGTGTAATGGCATCTTCCCGATGAGGAGTGGCCGTGTCTAATCTCTGGACAGCCATTGGGTCCTGCAGGTGAGGTGTCATGTTCTCCTGACGATGTGCAGTCATCGCTTCCTGCATATTATGAGCCATGGGATCCTGGCGATGGGGTGTTGCTGTTTCCCTTCTGATTTCCTGCACCTGCATGTGCTGTGCCATCGCATCGGTCCCATGCGGTGTTGAAGTGTCTCTTCTAGCATCAGGTATGTGTGCTGCTACACTCTCTGGTCTGTGAGCCATCATGGGGTTGTGCATGTGAGGGTTCATCATGTTATTGGTCATGTTATCCTGATGATGCTGTAGCATACTAGGCTCCTGCTGCATATGACTTGACATGTTGGTGTCCTGCAGTTGAGACGTCATGGAGTCATGGCGATGTCTGTGAGGTGTCATCACATCTTGCCTCTGTTGTGAGTGTACATTCTGCCTTTGCTGTTGCATCATTTCTTGCCTGTGTTGCTGCTGTTGCTGTTGTTGCTGCTGTTGCTGCTGCTGCTGCTGTTGTTGTTGCTGATGTTGTTGCTGCTGCTGCTGCTGCTGTTGTTGCACTACTTGATGCTGCATCCCAACTGCACCATGCATGGTGTCCATGCCATGCTGTTGCTGCATATCAGGCCGATGTTGGGTCATAATTTCAGCTCCATGATGGGTAATGTGCTCTGCTCCCTGTTGTGGTAATCTGTGATCAACCACTGGCTGTTGGACAGCTCCTGGCTTAACTAGGCCAGAATGTTGCTGTTGCTGCTGTTGTTGCTGTTGTTGCTGCTGCTGCTGCTGCTGTACATGGTCCACTGCGGCCATAGACACTCTACGTTGAGGAGTCTGCCTATGAGCCTGAGAGACAGGTGGAGTGACATTCCTTGGCATATGCACTTGAGTGTTCTGTATTGGGGGTGTCTGCACTGGAGGTGGTGTAGGGTTCTGCGGAGGTGTCAGATTAGCAGTAGGCTTTGGTGATCTTGGGACTGTAAGTGGGTTGTTTGGCAAAATATCATTGGTCAGCTGCTGAAGTTTCGCTAAGCTGCTTGTGGAACCTCTCTTGTTCTGTGTCTGCTGGCCTCCTGGTCCAAACATGACATTATTATTGGAATTGTTACCGTTGTGTCCAGTGGGTGAACCAAGCGGAGGCTTCATGACACATCCAGCTCCAGGTTGTCCCATTGGAGAACATACCTGTGGGCTGCGCATCTGAGGGCTGCACACCGGTGCATTATGCATCTGCGGACTGCACGAGGTCGCTGAGCTAATCACTGGACTTGTGACTGGCGGATAAGTCATGGCAGGGCTGCAGGCTGGACCGCTGCTTCTAGCAGGACTGCATGTTTGGGTGTACACTGGGCTGCAAACCTGGTTGTTATTGTTCAGAGCAGGACTACATGCCGACACGTTCATGACTGGGCTGCACACCTGGGTGTTGATTAGGCCGGGACTGCAGAGTGGATTGTTGTTGTTGGTCATTGCTGGACTGCACATGGGCGCACCCATCGCAGGGCTGCAGACTTGTGGACTCTGCAGATTATTGATCTGGTGTGGACTATTCATTTTCCCCAGCTGTGGACTATTGAGAGAATTCATTTGTGGACTGATACTAGGCACAGGCTGCCCCATGCCAGGTCTCCCAGGTGGGCTAGATTGTTTAGGACTGTATCCTTGCTGCTGCTGGGGTTGTTGCTGTTGTTGTTGCTGTTGTTGTGCTTGCTGTGGGCCTATGTTAGTACTGCAAATATCTGCGTGGGGACTATTAAGATTATGGTGCATACCTCTTACCCCTGCCATACCAGTGTTGGACATCATCTCTGACGGATCTAGGCCATGATGATCAGCTATTTCCATACAGTTTCTGTACCTCCTCACAGGGTTACTGCAAGACTGATAACCCATCTGCATGCTATGTTGAGTCATATCACCCGAACGTCCATATTCTGGCATGCCCATTGACTGCATGTTCTCGTGGGTGTTGCCACCGATGGAAGCCTGCATGTTGTTCTGGCATGCGGATATGTTGGGGTGGTGCATCTGCTGCGGGATCTGTCCCTGAGAACCCAACATTTGCGGCTGCTGCTGATCAGTCTGAGGGGCCTGCGAAGCATCTATATGCTGCTGTGTTTCAAGGTGAACGTTTGTATCCATACGCTGCGAGTCCACATGATGTACCACGTGTGAGTCCATTTGTGGTGGGGTGGAATTGATCACTGGTTGTGATTGTTGCTCTGTTGCGGGTTGTTGCGGCGTCATCATCTGGGGTGCGGTGTCTATGACCCCAGGTACACTGTCCATCATCTGTTGAGTAGTATCCATACTTTGAGTGGTATCTAAAGGTGGAATGGTTTCTAATACAGGCACAGGTTCCATTGATTGAGGGGTAGGCATGGTGTTAGGAATATCCATCAATGATCGCTCTACAACATCCTGGTTTTCCGCATTGTTGGACCCTTCTACGGAGGACAAACCAGTATTCAAGCACATGGGTGATGTGTCTAGTGACTGTGGTGTATCCATCACTGAAGCAACATCTATAGCAGGTACCTCCGTTGATGCAGGAGGCACAAGGGGTGGCTCGTTCAACCCCAAAATATCCATGTCGCTACAGCTATTCCTAGACCTTATTTCCTGCGTGTCACTACCACTGAAGTTTTGAAAATCTGATTCAGAGTTGGGCTGGTACGTTTGCTCATGATCATCACTATCAGCCATGCACTCTGGAGATCTTATACCCTGAGAGTCCATTTCCATGATGGATTCAATAGCCTCAGCGGTCTCCATATCCTCCGCTTCCGTTGGTTCTATACCTTTAGGTTCCTGAAAGTCCATCATCTCTCCGCTACTCACTCCTGAATGTTCTCCAGTATTCTCAAAACGATTTCCTTGAGGGCTGCACTCTCCTGCAGCATTAGTGCTATGATCACTGTGGCTACTGAAACTATGTTCTTTCAAATCCTCTACACCATCTCTGCTTTGAGCAGGAGAGTGTGGTGACAGAATATCACGTAACTGCTCTTCATCATCATCATCATCATCCTCCAAAGTTTCTTTCCTGTCAGTTGGCATCTCTCCCTGATCTTCGTTCGTCATGGTTTCCTTAAGGCTGGGAGGACTGCCATGCATCTCTTCATCGTAGCGCTCTAAGAAAGGACTCGTACGATTCAGCACAGGACTATTCACGGGAGATTCCACTTTTGCAAGGGTAGGAGGACCATCACCGTCCAGCTCACTTTCCTGGTGGTCATCTTCTTCAGCAGATGAATGCTCCTGCAGTTCCTCCACCCTTTTACCTTCCTCCTCCTCCTCATCTTCAGATGATGATGAAGATGAAGATGACGATGTAAATGAGAGTCTAGATCTAGTACAGCTGCTTTCTTCAGGTATTTTAGAAATGGGCATGACAGTGCTTTCCACCTCTGGCTCCAATCTAATATCAGTACTGTGATTATCAAGCATGTCATCATTTTCTGTTTTTTCATCACTGTCTTCACTAGCATGTTCACTAAAGGCATCCCCTGAGGGCACTATGTGCTCTGTCTCCTGTGAAAGAGTCTGAGAATTGATTTGATCATTGGTTTTCATGCTAAGGTCCGCAGGAGCGTCCTGTTGTATGGTGTTTTCAGTATTATCATCGCTATCCTCATCATCACTGTTTCCACCTGGTTCATCATCACTGCTTAACTCCGTGTCTGCTTCTCTCCCTTTCTCAATCTCGTCCTCGTCGACTTCCACTTCAGCATCTGAATCTTCATCAATATCTTTAGCATCCACGGATTTCTCTTCACTTATTCTCTCAGTAGTACCATTATTCCAAAGTGTGTCACCAGTCTTTGTAGATTCCTCTGCAGTAGCTTTAGATGTCTCATTGTCATCACTGTCACTGCTGCTGTTGGAGCTGCTACTGCTTGAGCAGTCAAGGCCGTTTACACAAGCCTCACCGCTCTGAGTTCTTTGTGGATTCGCTGCAGTAGCAGCAACATCTTTGGATGCCTTTGGACTAACATTTGTCACAGGTGGTGTTGTATTGTTTGTATTTACATCTGCTTTTTCCTCAGGTGCAACCTTGTCTGGGTCTTTGGTCCTGATCTCAAGATCGGAATCACTGTCACTGTCAGTGGTGCTACTGATGTCTATTGCTACACTCAACTGGAGTGGTTTACTCCTGACCAGTTTAGGTGGCACTTTTTTCTTTGGTCTGACCACCTGTTTGGTGAGTCTAAGGAGCCTGGCAAAGTCTTCTTCGTCCGACGATGATGTGGTATCGTCTGAATCGAGCACAGGCCCGAGGGGTAATGGCTTAACACTCAGGGTTCTTGAAGGTGGTGTTGCACTTTTTGGCACAGCTGCTTGGAGTGATGGAGGTGGTGGGGTCGGGGGCTTCGGTTTGGGTTTAGGCTTTGGTTTCTTCTTCCGTTCCCAAAGCGGAACACGCTTTCTCCTCCTCCTGCGCTTCTTGACTGCTGGTGGCCCGTCTTCCAGTAGTTTCGCCCGCTGAAGCCCCCTAGGCCACCCTCGCCTTTGCTCTATGGGGGTAGCGGGCCCTCCGTTTTTTGGACGCCCTCTGGTGGTGGTGGACGTGCCAGGGGTAGAACCTGTACTTTGCGTAGAACCCTTGCTGGATGAGGTGCCCGTTGTTGCTGGGAGGGCAGGTTTTACTTTAGGTGGTCGGCCAATCCTAGGTGGAGGTTTGGGTGGCTCAAAGTCACTGTCTGAGCTGGTGAAGCCACCATTTATTTCCGAGCCAAGTTTTGATTTCACAGCAAGCTTGCCTTTCCCTCCCTTAGCTGTAAAAGAACACAAAGAAAGAAACAAAGATTAGCTATAATATGTGACTATGATCAATAACACATACTCTGGTTTATCTTCAAAATCCTGATAAAAATATTTTGTTAAGGGTTCTTAGAATGGAAAAATGTGGTCTGCTCGAAATATTTCCCAGCTTTGGGTTGTCATGGTGATTTAAAAGAGACCAGATAAAATCTGAATGACATGAAGCAACTGGGATGCAACTTCTATGATAACTAAACAGTGTACACCCAAAAATCTAATCCTATTGCAACTAAACAATGCAGTAATGCATCATAACTTTTGCCTGTCAACCCCAAATTGATTTTGAAAGGGGGCTGGGATTAAAAATGATAATCCTTAAAGATGAAGATCAGTTCCGGTCATGCGATTGCATTGTGAAAAAAATGTTGTGGAATTGATCAGGAAAGGTTGATTATCTAGCATATAAGTATTGGTGTGTACTGCAAGGTTCTGGAATCATCAAAATGATAAGAGATTTGGCCCAGTCTTCGTAAAGTTACAAGCACTGTACACAGAAAGATGTATATGGGACTACGCACACGTGCATGACACGTGCGTTTATCTCTCACATACCAATAGATAAACTAATTTACCAAATATATCAATTAGTAGGCGGTTTCTCTGCAAAATTTGTATGATCACATATTAGTCAAAACATATTCTTTCACATGATTGGTAATAAGAGCTTCCATTTCATTTTTTGAGAAGGGGTGTTTCCAAAACTGGTCTTTACCTTTAACAGATAACGAGGAAGAAGAAGAATCTGAAAAACTCACCTGATCCTTTCTTGGTGCCCTTGCAACCTGCCAATTTGCCTTTTGCTGCATTTTTGGATTTCAGTCCCTTCAGAGGTAGCTTCAGCTTGGACTTGGTCAGTTTCTTGGTGCCAAGCCCCGGGCCTCTTTTCACCTGATGGGAGAGTGAAACAAAATAGATTCAGGAACAACGTACAAGGGTAATAATTGTAACACGGGTGTAACATTGAAAGCTTCATCTAAAAGAAGAATATCTACAAGATTTCAGTTTCAAAGAATATACATTATTCAGGATAGGAAAAGTACATTGTATTGCTCATATTCTCTCTGGAAATCTAATAAAGCAAAATGAAAATGCACGACTATCTTTCTTTCTTCTTATTTTTCCAAAAAAAAATACCAAAAGAACATGCACAAATTGACAAAGTAATTCCACAGTAGTTGACAGTTCATGCCTTTAAATTCTCTGTATTTTCAAAGGTTGAGCAACATGTGAGGGCTCAAATTCCTCTGGGTAATAGTGTTAAATTTCACCTTTGTGAGACCTGGCTCACACGTTGCTCCCTCCTTTTTCCTCTTGTATTGTTTATGTATTGCATGATCTGTCAAAATGTCATTGTATTGTGCTTTTATGATTGGCCTAATAAATGATAATAATAATTACAAAAAGTGACTTACAATTCTACTTTCATTCTTACCTTTGAATTCTTCTTATTTTTCAGAGGTGACTTGAGTTTCTTCTTGGGGCCTGTTCTGACTGGAGTGGTCTTTGGTCGACTGGTTTCCTCTGCGATGAAGAGATTGGGTTGTCCGCTGTCAGAGTCTGAATCCACGTTGGTGGCGCTCTTCTTCTTCTTGGACAGGGGTTCGTCGGCCACCGACTGCAGGATTGGAATCTTCCGTCTCCTCTTCCTCATCCTCTTCTGCCTAGTATGGACCTAACGACACAAAGGAAATGATAAAATACTTTGTTTAGCTGTTTAAGGGGTTAGGCTTGACTAGCATATGTGCTATTATCTGGCCCCTTTTACCAACCAATAGTTTCTCTTCTTGTATATATGTAAATTATTGTATGAAATGTATTGATGTTGGTAAACAAATCAAATCATTCAAAACAATGGTAACAGCAAGGGGTACATACATCAACAGGGTCCTGCCTGCTTCAAAAACTTGTTATCAACATATGAATTAAAGGTAAAGACCAGTATTGGAAACGCCCCAGTTTCAAAAAATGAAATGGAAGCTCTCATTACCCATCATGTTAAAGAATATGTTTTGACTAATACATGATGATAAAAATTTGCCGGGAAACCGCCTAATAATTCATATATTTGGTAAATTTGTTTCTCTCATGGTCTGTGAGAGATATAGGGTAGTCCCATATACATCTTTCTGTGTATAGTGCTTGTAACTTTACGAAGAATGTGCCAAATTTCTTATCATTTTGATAATTCCAGAACCTTGCAGATGCTAGATGCTAGATGATCAACCTTTTCTGATCGATTCCACAACGTTTCTTTCACAATGCAATCGCATGACCATAACTGGTCTTTACCTTTAAAACAAAAACTTATTATCAATAAGGTTATAACTTATAACTGTTACAAGCTACTGAAATCATTGCATTTGATTTGCTGAGAGGTAATGTGTGATAAAATTTTAGCAGATATATTATTGATGAGTTCTTTTATTGAACAGGAACATGGTCCAATAACACTCTGAAATTAAGAGACATAGCAAGGCCCTCTTTTTAAAAAAACTTTACAATGACCATAAATAATCCCTTACAATGTCAATTTATCAATTCAGGTATTAGAAGCAAACTAAGTCCAGCTATTGTGAAAGTATGTCAAATGCAAGCACTACTATTGCTTGAGCAAGAAGGAAGGAAGGAAGGAAACAGCAAGCAATGGGAAACATAGCTTGGTTAGTTCATAAGTGCATTCTATATATATCCATTTACTTCATAAGGGCAGTTTGCGACAGTGAAAAATTTGAAAAACAGAAATAAAGCAATGGGAAGGCTAGAGGATATAGTGAAACTGATATCACATGAATTTTAACAGCAATTTATAGACAGGATTAAACAATTACAGAGGAGATGAAGCATAAACATAATTATATGGAAACAAATTACATAAAAATATGAGAGATTATTACATCAACAGATATACCCATCCTTTTTTTTCTTCACACTGCATATGGGAGGAGAGAAAAAAAGGGGGGGGGGGGGGTAACCCTTTTTTTTGGGTTTTTTTTGTGTTCGGGCATTTTTTTCTTCTGGTTGAGGGTTGTAGCTTATTTTGCTTTACAGCCAACGTGCCTGTACTTTTATTTTTACACCCCACTAGGCTTTCTCGTCCATGCCAACAATGTACTACAACATACATATGCATACAATTACCTACATAGTATGTTAGACAGGATAAAGATAAAACTTTGAAAAGTGCATTTCCAGCATTAACAATCTAGATACAGGTAAGCGCTTTTGGTGGCAAGCGCTTTATAAGCATCGTTTTTATTATTATTAATTATTATTAGATACATTACAACTTCAGGAAAACAAAAATGGTTGCAGGCTACATGTGCATGAAGAGAAGAAGTTGTGCAATACAGGAAATTTGAAATACTGGTTAAATCTAATGAAGAACAAAATGTATAAAATTATCTACAAGCACTACGCTAGTTCACAGTTGCTGTAAATCCAGAAAAGTGTGCATACAGGTACAGGAAATGTTCTTGAAAAATATCGCAAGTGGATTCAACTTGGGAAATTTTCATTCCCCCCCCCCCCCCCAATAGATAACATGTGACGCAGCACTTAATTTTTTCCCCTTTAATTTGCGTGAGTTTTCTTGCTGTGAAAATGGCAGATTTGTGTGCAATTTCAGGAAGTTCATGTCATGAAAATATCTGGTTTTACGGCATATCATGGAGAGATTGAAAGATATTAATAGCCGTGCATAACTGTTACAATGATGAAGAATTTAAATAAAACTTAATAAATACACTACCCCGTCCTCCCCCCCCCCCATCCCATACAATAACAACAACATATGGAACAAACAAAACAGAGTATATATTTCAAGGCTACATGACAACAACAGCAAAAAGATCTACTAAAACATTTACTAATAAAGTCAAAATAATAATATTTATTAATATATTTACAATATGCAACTACTCATACTGTGATCACAAAGTTAGTGTAGGAGTCAAAGTCATATATCCCATTTTTGATTTTTTTTTTTTTTTTATACAGGACTGCAAGAAAGCATGCATGTGCTTGTGAGTAAACAACTGGGAGACAGATGGCTAAAGTCCTATCTGAGGGACTTGGTAATCAGGATTAATGCCTTTCCAAGGGCACTTGTGTATCGACTTGGTTTCGGACCGGGGATCCCTGGGTTATGAAACCACTGCTCTACCACAAATCCATATTACATCTCCAAACAACATTGAAGGTTGTTCTAATAATAAAATGGCTGGGCTAAAATACTTATTTTTCCAGGAACCTATAATATACAAGCACTGCTTTTTAATAGGTTCCTCACATTCTACTTAATCTAATATACGAATTGAGAATCATTGAGACGTGCTCATTTATACTAAACGTATTGTATATTTTTAAAATTGTATACCGGTATGTATGTCTATATTTTATGCAAAATGTGGAAAAGAAAAAAAAACTTGAAACTTGATAACTATAACCTTCTCAGGGCATCAAAGATTACACTGGAATAATAATAATAATCTGGATTTATATACCGATAGCTCTCAATACAAAATACTGTCTCTACGCGTTTTACAGATGTTTTTATTACCTCAGTCATTAGATTAATTCACTCACCCAGTGTGCACTCTCCACTCCTTGGGAGTATTTTTACAATATATGGTCACGGTTGGGCTTATAAAGCAATTACTATTAAACACAAAGGCTTTTGTCCTCCTACCATGTCCCCATTTCTCTCCTGGGTATGGAGCGGCAAATGTAGATTAATGCCTTGCAACAGGACCTTCGTGGAGTTCAAACCTACAACCTTTGCATTTCAAGTCAAGTGCTAAAAACTATGACACCTCTAATGGAATTGGCAAATGTATACTGTAAATCTAGAAATTTTGTGGGCATCTAACAAACCAAGTGATTCTGAAACTACAGTATGGTACTGCAGCTTTAAACGTTATCTAAGTAGCATATAAAAAAAATACATGATAGTAGTTGTTCAAGTCAATGTGATGTTATCTCGTTTTGGTTGGGGGGGGAGGGGGAGGGGGAGGGGGGAGGGGGGAGGTGGAGGGGGGAGGGGGAACAACAAACAAATTGATACACTGAACAATACAGCTGCAGACTTAAACACTATTGTGTACTAAATATAAATGTCCATCAGTATCAATGATATTACAAAAGAGGAAAAGAAAAGAACGAACTAGGAAAGATAAGAGAAGAGAAAAGAGAAGAGAAGAGAAGAGAAGAGAAGAGAAGAAAAAGAGAAAAGAGAACAGAAATAAAAAGAGAAAAGAAACAAAATAAAAGAAAAGAGGAAGGCAAAGCAAAGAAAAGAAAAACAAGAAAAAGGAAAGGGAAAAAAAAATGGAAAAAAGAAAAAGAAAGAGAAAAGAAAATGAAGAAAATAACACAATCTGCATACTGATTGTACGCTGTTAGGTTAGGTGTACAGTATATGACACACTAGTGAATTGCATGCACTATTCAACGTTTTAAAGTACAGGTGTACACTACATTCACACAACTATCAGGATAATGGAAACAGCTCTACATGACTGCACAGACTCGATACAGCAGGTTATAGGGTTTGTTCACACAATCCATGCTCTCACCTCCTTTGTAAGAGACGGAGGTAGACAGTCAAATGCAGCCTCCATGCCACGCGAATGAACCTTGAACTGTATAGCACATAAGAACACATTAATTCTTATATACCTTTCATGATGTATGTACGAATTACTTGATAAATAAAAGTTTTAAAGATTTTTTTTTATACATCTTATATACCGGTATATGGATCTCTTTGACCCTGTTCAAATCATTGATCATTACAAATTAGAAGTCTGAATCTTCATAGCAAATGCTATTGCAAATTCTTCCCAAATCAGATCGTAGTCAGATGCACTGGGCCTAATATCAATTTGACACAGTGATAGACTGACAAGTTAGACCAGGCTCTAGGCTTTATGGAATTTGTTAACAGTCAAATAGTCCCATAGTCAAACAGAGTCTTTGCCTGCAGGTTAACTGGCATTATGTTGGGGTTTCTACAGCACTGCAAGAAGAAAGCAGAAATGAAACTCGCCTCTGGTAGCTTCTGGCAAGTTCGGATAACAGAGGGTACTAAAATCTTGACCACTTTTGGGGCAATGTTTCTGAAACTCGTCTCAGGCACATGTAGGTCATTTCGTCATATCAAGGGGTCAGTGACACAAAGAAGTAACTCCATTTGGCCATTTTGAGAAAAAGTGGTTTATGTGTCACTGAGCACTTGGGCCGTAAGGATTCTATGTTTCACTAGCCATTGACTTCAATGGGGTGTTTCCTGGAAAGCCCACATTTTTCTGAACATTTGATATCACATACTCACTATTATCAAATCCAAATTCAATACAAAAGAGAGACTGAAATAATATGTCCATACTTCCAAACATCATTGCAATTTCCATTAGTATTATCCTACAATGAGTTTCAAATGTAAATTGTAGCAAAATGTGCAAGATGAAAAAGAAAATGAAAAGTAGATTTTGCTTCACTTATTGCAGTAAAGTCTTCTATCTAATGCAGTCTTTGAAATCTGATCAGTAAAATGATTACTAAAAAATGTTGACGGACAAATGTATCACAAATGTAACGGGCATGAGAAGGTTTAATAGTTTACAAGATATGACTATACTTCCAAGTATCTCTTAACATCTAAATAAGAAGAAAACAATATTCAAAGAAGAACATAAACAATTAACGATAGAAAAGCTAGGTTAAAATGTTGTGAAGATGAAAAAGACGAGTGTATTACAATTTACAACCAAACTACAATCAAGAAAAATGACCAATAGATGTTACTACTGTACACTTAAAGCTCGTTCACATATATATATATATATACTGTATGTCAAAGTTAATGGAAATAAAGTGCAGTACGCTTAAGTATTCTTTAAGGCATCGTTTAACAATGTTTAAATCTGAGATGCATGGCCCTACGTGTTACCAGTGTCTGTGATATGGTGTAATATTGAAGCCCTAAACAAATTGTGCTTAAAAATTATCATGATGTGACTCAAAAAAGTAAAAATATGTGAGTGAATGGTTTTACCATACTAATTTTCCCCAATAGACTGTAGTGATATAAAAACCGTTGGAAAAACAAAAAAAATGAAATTTGGATTTTCAATCATATCTTGATAATCAGACAGGTGATTGGCTTGATAAATTCATGGGATTCCTGACTGACCTGAAGGCTTATAATTATGATTGCAGCATGAGCTAAATCCAGGATTTTGTTTCAGAATCCTGCGATAAACCTACCGCAGATTATAGCGGAAAATGTGAACAACACCGGAATGAACTGTTTAGATATGTCCCGAGCGCCTGTTAGTATTGAGACTTGCCTCATTTGCCCTTTGTTTTGAGATCACATGACCTTAGATAAGCCAAATATGGCAATTTTTTTAAATTTCATGAGAGTTAAAGCCCCACTGTACTACTTACTTGCTCCCTCTCTATAGTAAACAATGCCTAAGCGGTGCCCGTTGGTCCCCCATGATCCTCTTTTTCTTATGTTAATTGAGAGCGGAGTTGATGAGACAAGCACCTGCCAGTGACCACACTGGGTGGTCTAACCCCCCCCCTCCCCCTGGCCAAACTAGTACAGACATGCTTTAAAAGAGGTGAGTAGAGGCTATTTTTTGGATCCACATTAGTCCTACAAGGTGCTTATTTTTTTTTATGACATCATTCTTATAAATTAAACAAAAGTTGTCATATTTGAAGCTTAATGCTGGGTTTTACGTGAAAGTGCAAATATGGCATTAATCTTGAATGGCAAATTTAAAGGGGAACTGAGCAAGAGTAAGTCAAAAACGATGCAAGCTTATACATAAAAAAACACACACAATCAGACTAGATCTTCCAAGACTGGCCATCATAACTTTTAAAAAAAATCTTGTGAATCTGATTGTAAAATGAAAGGTTTGGAAAAAAATACTATTCGGTGGATTTTGCACAGAATGAGAAAGAAATAGAAGCATGTAATGATTGCCATGTCCGTTCTATAAAACTAAGCTTAACACATTCTACCTGATTCATTATGAATATGATCTAAACACATGTACACATGATGATCTCCCACCCTGAAAACAAGGTCATAAACCCTCCCACAATCATGATGCTGTATAGTTCCTGTGAAGATACTGCTATCTATATACATGTAATTCTATAATAAATTCCTTGCCTCCTCATTTATGAGCATATGTAACTGCATCATTGCATGAGGTTGGGGCAAAGAAATGACAATTGGTATGAGATCTTCTACTTAACATGGAAGATGAAATCATCTGATGAAGATATTTATGAAATGAACGAATATAGCAGTGCCTTGTCAGAATCATTCCCGTTTCAGTTGCTTCTCTTCATAAGATTAGCTTTATATACGTTTTTTTTTTTTTACCAGCGTTACATGGACATCACATTTATATAACATGAGATAAACTTTGGGTCTACGATATTGATTCACCATGAATTTTACTTTTCTCTTACATTATTAAGTTATCATTTGAAGGGGGAAATACAAATCTGCAATTTTGCATTCATAAATGTTTTACCATAAACCTTTTTTTTTTATAGAATAACTCAATAAATTACGCTGTTAAAAAAAAGAATAAGGACATCAAAAACTAAAATGTTCACTCCCTGCTAGTTAGTGACAGAGGGTAGAATAGGAAACACTTCGATTGTTATAGCTGCATGAGAAAAAATAATTTGTTGCAGCTTAATATACTTTTATTCAATCTAGATGTGATAATATATTTTTTTAAATAGAGGAATAAAAAGACTATCCAATTAAGAGTGAACACTATCCTGGCAAAGTACTACTCTAAAATGCTAAACTAAATCAAAATGAAGTGGTGTAGTACACAATATATGAAAGGAAGCCTGCTCTTCCAATGTGACTTAATACAGATATGGGTTTTGAAGAAGAAGAAAAAAATTACTGTTTTAATGATTTAATGACTTTAGTACTCCTGGAAACTACTACTACTACTACCACTACCACTACCATTACAACTACCAACTACCACTACTCTTCCACTACCACTACCACTACCACTACCACTACCACTACTTTACATGAGGTTTTTGCTTATAGGCCCTCAGAGTTTTGCTATCATCACTACATACATGTATCATGTGGGAAACGATTTTAATTGATTTCTGCAGAGTGGTGCTTGTCCTTGGCAATAAGCTTCTAAGGGTGCATTGAAGTAATTTTTTAAAGCTAGAATCACAAATCAAAATGCCGTTAAAAAACATGGTTACTGCGGGAGAGCGTTCAAACGATTTTTCATCAGCGCTGATTCTCGCTCATTTCAAGCCCAGCCACCGCTCATCACACTGTGCCGCGTGATTTCTGTCTGTGTTTACAGTGGACTGTTGGTCAAACCGAAAGCAGGCCAAAAATGACGTCATAGAATTATGAGCGAGATCTCTGTTCTTTCAAGCGAATTTTAGCAATCACGATACAAAACCCATCTTTTTCAGCGTTTCATGGTAGAGTTTTTAAACACGTTTATTTTTACGACCGACAAAAAAATCGCTTGTACGCAATCTAAAATGTCTTTGAAAACTGTGATTCTCGGGTGAAAAAGTGTCAATTAAATGCACCCTAAGATGCTTTGGATTAATGCTAATACAGGTTTTATATTGGGGTGGGGTACTGTCCCAAGGGATTGTGCTACGGTCATACAGCAAATAAAAAAGAAATTGAAATAGGAAAAGTGACATTTGCAAGCATGAGAACCAATTTTTGAAAAAGCAAAGTAGGGATGAGCAAATTGTGGTGATTTGGGGGAGGGAGGGAAAGCTTTAAATTTGATACTTGCATTCAAGAAGTCCAACATTACAAAAGTATGAGAATATTCATGTGAAAATGTATCGAGATGGGTGCAGATGTATTAACAAACTATCTACTTTGCATGAAATAGAGTGAGACTATCAAGACTAATTTGCCATCAAAACCAAGTCTGATGCTTGCCAGAATTTGCTGAAAAGAGCTGAATATAGATAGATGCCACTTTGAGGGAATCCTCCAGCGGCAAGAAGAGAAATGAATTTTAAGTGAAGTTTGGCCGTGGGTGGAAAATATTAAGAGGTGCAACACTACAGCTGAAGTTAGCCATCAAAAAGAGAGTGCAGAGACTTTGATAGTAGACAACAGAAATGGCCAATTTGAGGACCAATTTCTCTCACCTGGTTAGTTAGTCGAGGAGGACAATCGCATTCCTCCGCGTTGATAGGGTTGGGATAAAGTAAGCAAGTAGTCTGTTATGGGAGATGGACGATTGGATGTGTAATGCAAGGAAGAGGGGGGGGGGGGGAGGGAGAAAAGAGAAATTGGAGGATGAAGAACAAATTGAGACAAAGAAAAATAGATCAAAATAAAAATCAGCAAATTAAACGTATGATCACGGAGGTCAACAGAAGCATGGATGGGGGTAGGTTTGTGCATCTGGGGGCGTTTCACAAAGATCCTAAGTTGAACTTATCTCCAAGTTGGACTTAACAATTATGGAAAGCGGTTACCATTCTTGAAAATATTTTGTAAAAGTTATTTTAAAAGGCATAAAATGTTGGTTCAAATCATACATATTTTCTATTATCATGAAGGATTTCATGTTCTTGATGTGGAATTTTTGAAAGTTTAAAATACTTTAATTTTTGCTTTTGAATGTATTTCATTATAAGGCTACAAATAGCTCTCCATAATATTTAATTCCAACTTAGAGTTAAGTTTGACTTAGAATCTTTGTGAAACACCCCCATGGTTTAGTACATATTTACAATCACATTTAGGGACATTAAGCATCAACTCTCAAGCTTCAAAACAATACACGAGTTGTTTTGCTTTCGTTTCCATATTCTTTTTTTTTTAATGCAACAGTGATTGTACCAACTATCAAAAATCATTTTACCAGACATAGTAGGTGTATTCGGGTAACATATGAAAAAGAATTCAAAATTTCCCAAATAATGGCCTCATCATCATGTACATGGACACCCATTCTGCCCCAAACCTGCTTTGTAAAAATACCACATGCATATACAGGATGCAAAGATGGAACAAATAAATATTCATTACTTATAGTAGAGTAATGAAAGTTAACCACACTTTCAGATCGAACTGAAAGACGCTTCTAAACGTTACAATATATTTTGTATTGTCCAACAGTGTGACATAGTGCCAAACCATTACAAATTTTAGCCCTCTGTGATATAAGATGTACACGTAACTGTGATTATACGACCTCTTGCTGTTGCAGCAGATTTTGAAGCCAGGTTACGAACGTACATGTACACTGTAATACACGTCCAAAAAACGTGAATCATTTCAGGTCCATACATTTACATGTACGTATATATACCGTATTACCACACAAGGGGGGGGGGGTGTTTCACAAAGATTCTAAGTCGAACTTAACTCGAAGTTGGACTTAAGTGTTATGAAGAGCCATTTGTAGCCTTATAATGAAATATATTCAAAAGCAAAAATTCAACTCAACATCAAGGACATGAAATCTAATGTGATAATAGAAAACATGAATGATTTGAATCAATATTTTATGCCTTTTAAAATAACTTTTAAAAAATATTTTCAAGGATGCTAATGGCTTTCCATAACTGTTAAATCCAACTTAGAGAAAAGTTCAACTTAGGATCTTTGTGAAACACCCCCAAGGACTCTTTCCTTTTTGATTGTTTAGATGCTGACCTAATAAAAAAAGTAATAGGATACATGTACATGTAACTATGGTGATACAAGTAATGCAGCAGCCTCCCGCTGCCACTCAGCTCTACAATTTGACCATCCCGAAAACTGCGTCTCCAACCTACCTTTTTCTTTTTCATCTTGGTTTTGACGGGGCTAGCATCGGCAGCATCCCGGGCGAAGACGTCTCTAGTGAGGGTGAGCTTGTTGGGAGAAGAGATGCGCGGAGATAGAGACCCTTGCCGTCTTTCCCGCTCCAGGTCGCTCACCAAGGCACCCATCTTTTGAACCTTTACAATAGAACACATTTATTCAAAATTGCTTTTGATGATTAACTTTCTCCATTCACATTGATGTATTTTTCATATGTATTGTAATTTGTAGGTTTATTTGCATTTTTTTGTTTTGTTTAACATGTAATTGCTTATCAGTCTATTTTGTTTGCTATTACGCTTAGAGACTTCGGTGGTAAGCGCTTTATAAGTAACGTTTTTATTATTATCGAGTACGTCAAAATTATTTTCTTCTGGGCGACATGGATGTATGATCGGTTGCGTCACAAAATTAATCAAATCAATATAATGCACTTTTATTGCGCGATCTATCTAGTAAAACTACTCTGAGGAGTATAAAAACTTGCATTACGAACAAAAAGGGCGTATGTCGATGAATTATAAGTTCACATTTGACATATCCGACTAAATGATTTTGTAGGTAGTATTAAGCCTCATGAAGGTACTGCATGTGAACATATACTTGTATGTATATATCAGCTTCATAATCTAGTTATGTGGTCCTACCCTCTTTGAGATACAAATAATGATTTTCAACAGTGTTCACATGCAATCTGTGTTCAAGATATTTAACTAGGATGCCACATCGTCAAAGGTGGTTTAGTCTGGTGTATATTAAAGTCACCCAACTGCAGATGACAAGATACAGACATTAATCTAAATTTTCCGCCCCCAACCCTAGTGTAATAAGTGGGTTTTACATGAATGCGCTGAGGGCTACAGTTGCTGGAGCTGTAGCTGGGGTGGTAATGTCCAAAGCAAAGATCATGGAGAGATTCTACAATTATGTGATAAGCGGCTTATGCGCTATTAGAGAGTGATGTCCTTTGGCAAGACATTGGTCTACATTTGCCACACTCCACCCAGGTGAAGTAAATGGGGAGCTGGTAGAAATTTATTCCTTAAAATCACTAAAGCCAGGGTAATTTACGCTGCATTATTGTAGAGCGCTTAGAGACCTCTGATAAAGTAAGTGTTAGGCGATATATAAGCAAATATAGTTATTATTACGATCATATTATTACCTCTCTCTTTGCCTCTCTCTCCTCCTCCAAGACCGCCAGACCGCTGACCGCTAGAGGTGACCAGCGAAGCGAGTCATTGTCCAGTTCTAACCTCTTGTTCTTGCTCTGCTGCAGCTTGGTCAGGTGGCGTGATATCAGCTTCTTTCGTATCCTCAGTACAACCCTACTCAACAAAGACAACAGATAGAATAGTATCATGTGATCTATCTTTAGAAAGAAATCGTCGGCCGGGTGGCAGAAGGGCGTTAGCGCGCGAGCGACTCGAAAACTACTTTTCGAATTATTCACATTTAAAGATTTGTTTTATATTTAAACTGCTTTCCGTACCAAAAATTGGTTTAAAAAATTAAAGACTAATATAAATGTTGTTTTTCCTTGTAAATAAGTCAGTTTTATAAAGTTTGAGGCGATTTAGCGCTAACGCCCTTCTGCTAAAAGTTTCATTATTGACCTGAAATTTGAGCAAACGCCCTTCTGCCAGCCAGGCGACGAAATGCGGCTGGTTAGTACAAATAGAGGGCACATTATGCGACTGGGGCCCTGTACCCTAATGAAAAACATTTCAATTGTAAAATTTGTCACAGCATTTTTATGAGTATTGCATACTTTATGAAAAATATTCATTGTTGCCGTTCTTTTTTTATGTTGCTGTTATTATTATTATTGATATCATCATCATCATCATCATCATCATCATCATCATCATCATCATCACCACTAGTAGCAGAAGTAGTAATATTAGTAATATTATTATTATTATCACAACTTTTATTATCAGCCATTATTATAATTTTATGATTATCATCTCTCTTTTATTATTTTCATTATAAGCACTTTTCACCATAGTAGTAGCAGAAGTATTCATTACCCTTCCCACATAATAAACATTATTATAAACATTTTTATGTTTGTCAAGGATCTTACTTGTCTCCCTGTCTTTTCATCATGCGTAGGGTTGTGAGGGTAGCTGCTATATCATGTGGACACATTCCTGTAGACCTGCTGATTGCTGTAAGGAAAACCAAATAAAATCAATCGAGGTTACAGATTCTAGATCGTCGATAGAAAATCCAGTTATTGTACACACATTCGCATCGTTCACTATTCTTAATAGAATATCAGTTGGAAAACTTGAAATAGCAGAAGTAATCATAAATACAGAAATTCATTCAGGGTCTCAGTCCGACCCCACACACCCACACCACTCATATGGTTTACTAATCATACTCATTTTTAGATCGTCAATAGAAATTCTCTCAATGTAATCTTCCCACACAAGCAGATCATTCACAGCATCTATTTTAATTGGAAAACTTAGGATGATAAAAAAGCAACAGTTACAGTTTCTCTAGACCATCAATACGCAACGCTACAAAGACTTTCTAAATTACCAACCTACAGCAATATCAATAGCCTTGTCCGTTACCTATTGAATGTGCGTACCTGCCAATGAAGCATTACATACACTGCTTTTTCTATGGGACATTGAAAATGCCCACGAGTCTATTTCTCAAGTCTTTTGTGATCGTGTTTAAGAACAAATTCTTTTCACAGTAATTATTCCACATGTGATCAATGCCTTATGTTGCATTATATCAGTTTAAGAACTTCGTATTGAATGAGCATCTCTTATGCTAGAGCCCGCCCACAAACTAAATTAGATACTTGGTGCATTGAAAAGACATCACAAGGCACTTTTCCAGCAGTTGTCCAATACTGAGAAGAAAAATATTGTCTTTGTATACTGTATATGCAGCAGCATGCTATGATCTCGAATGTCTTCGGTTTAGGGCCAGATTGGCGTTAAGTCTGCTTTCAAGTATATGAGTTAACAGCCTTCTGGCTCTGATTGATCTGCCTTGCATACCAAAAGGAGTCTGGAATGGTAAAATACCAAAGCTTGATTTTCATCTTGTTCTAATGAAGCAACTTAATTGGAAATCCAACCTTAAAGATAAAGTTGAGTTCTGGTCATGCGATTGCATTGTGAAAGAAAAGGTGTGGAATGGATCAGAAAAAGTTGATCATGTAGCATGTAAGTATTGGTGTGTACTGCAAGGTTCTGGAGTCGTCAAAATCATAATAAATTTGGCCCAGTCTTGGTAAAGTTACAAGCACTGTCAACAGAAAGATGTATATGGGACTACACGAACATGTGGCATAAAAATCTGTCCCGATGTTTATGCCGTTACATGCCATATTTAGAATATTGAGCCATTTGAAGAGCCATGCTTTTCAGGTAACATTTTGAATCTGATGTTCTTCCACACTTGCATAATAACAATGATAATGCTCTCAAATTATTTTTCACCTCTTCCCGGAACTCAACCTCCTCTTTAATAGTAAACTATTCAAAAAGAAAGCAGGAAGAAAAAAAAAGCAGATTTGTGAACGAAATCCAACAATATTTTTTTTGAAGATCAAGGTTGGTAAAATCATCAATCAAGAGATCCCCTCATCTATATCTGTGCCAGACTAACCTTTGATGGTGAGTTTCTTGGAGTCTCGATTCCGATGCAGATACTCCAGGATGACACTCCTCCAGTAAGCAGAGTAGCTGACCTTACCCAGGTCAGAGAGAGGCTTCTCAGGGGTCCCCGTCTGCCCTTCTCTCCTGGATAACAAGTAACCTACAGGTAGGGAAAAAATAGGACAGTTCCATCAGATTTGTAATTTGCCACAGGGCTTATATTGAATGTGAGGCCTAAAAAAAAGACGTTGTATTGCCCTTTAGGTGCCAAAAAATTTGTCGGTCGGTCGGAAATCTTTGTTTTTTAATAACATTTATTTCCTTTTTTTTTTCTCCCTCTTTTGGCTGATATTTCAGTTTTGATCCCCGTCTGCCCTTCTCTCCTCGACAAGTAACCTAGGAAACAAACAGGCACAGTTCCTTCGGATATGTAATTTCGCGCAGGGTTATTGAATGTAAGGGGACAGGTATATTAGACATTTTGTACTCTAAATCATTTCAAACGATTGTATAAATAAATTCCATCTTTTATCATTGTATTCAATCTCAAATTAAATGATGCAACGCTTTGTTAAAAGCACTTTGTAATTTATTCCCCCTCCCCTTCCCTTTTTTTTCTCTGTTGTTTTGGTTTTCTCTGCTTTTCTTTTCCTTTTTGCTTTTCTCAACAATACTGTGTATACTCTTTAAGGGGTTGACGTTCATAAGGCTACTTGCCCTTTTTGTTAACCTCAAATTCCCATAAAATTTTGTTTGCTCCTTCCCTTTGTTTTTTTTCTTGTAATCGATCTTATATCTGTATATCATGTATGTCAGGTTTGTATGTTTAATTTTTTTATGGAGAATGAAATAAATGATATGAAATGAAAATTTCTTTTATTTCATGCTGAAATGCCTCATCCTACAGTGGCTTCCCATAGATTCCTCTCTTCCCTTCTATCCTAGACACAAGTAACTTGACAAAGAAAATATGACATTCTTGGGATGATTGGGATGGGGTCCTTCGAAATATGGGATATATATTAAAGGTATGATTCCATAAAATATTTCTTTAAAGCATGTCCGCACTAGTTTGGCCAGGAGGATTAGACCACCCAGTGTGGTCACTGACATGTGGTTATCTCATCAACTCAGCTCTCAATTAACATCATGGGGGACCAACGGGCACCACTTTAATAGGCATTGTTTTCTATATGGAGGGAGCAAGTAGCTACAAGTAGTGCAGTGGGGCTTTAATAGAAGATGAATTGCCAAGTCTTGATGTGGTTTCTCGGGGGTTCCCATCTGCCCTTTCTTCCTGGACAATAAGTAATCTGGCCAAGAAATACAATTCTTTCAGAACAATTGTTAGTATGTGGGTCCGGATTTCCCTAGGGATAATTTTATGTTTTCAGGGAGGTATCAAGAATCTGCAAATCCTATGTAAAATGGCATCACAAGGTTATTAGCACTAAACATGATATTTCAAATTGGGGGATAACGATATGGTCAGAAAAGCCAGAGAGGGTCTTCTGGCCAAGCAGTGCAGATCCACTGACCCCACTGCTTTAGAAACATCTGATTTTGTTAGTGTTACTGGAAATACGTGTTTTGGGGGGTGTTTCACAAAGATCCTAAGTCAAACTTAACTCTAAGTTGAACTTAAACTTCATGGAGAGCCATTTGTAGCCTTAAAATAAAATATGTTCAAAAGCAAAAATTCAAGTATTTTAGATTTTTCATAAATTCCAGATCAAGAACATGAAATCCCCTTGATAATAGTAAAATATGAATGATTTGAATCATTGAATCAACTTTTAAAATAACTATTACAAAATATTTGTATAGATGCTAACGGCTTTCCATAATTGTTAAGTCCAACTTAGAGATAAGTTCAACTTATGATCTTTGTAAAACACCCCCCTGGACAAGTACATAAAACTGGAGATTTTATATGCGGAAGGAAAGACAAACATGACTTACTGAAGTCGATGAGAAACCTTCCATAGCCTTTCCTCTGGTACATAGGCAAGGCCATGATGCAGGACACGTTGTATCTCTGTTGACAGTGCTTTTCCTGGATAAAGAGGGAAAGAGGAGAAAAAGGAGTTAACAAAAGGCCCCTCAAGCTCCACGGTTTATATCTGGAAAACAGTCTTCAAGTTAAAGGTGATCATTCAGGGAAGGGGGGGGGGGACTGATTTGCTTCGCTTGGAGATCATCATCAGGTAAGGGGGGGGTAGTTCAGGGGGTATGTCTGGATGGGCGATGGGCCTTGTTGACAGGTACCTTGAGGCACTTTGGTGTAATGCTGAACACCACATCCAATGTTTCCAAATAGTACCACCTCACAAACTTTCCGGAATGCAGTTAATGTAGTTGTTACAATCAACAGGCAATCCTTGGTGTTGGCAAAATATAGTTGATGGTAACACTTGAAGAGCCTTGGATACTACAGACCACTGCATACCCTACAACCTATGATTGGATCCTGATGAATATTACAATAGAACTATACATGGAATTATGGAATTAAGAATGAGTTTCTAAATGGTAAAATGAATTAAGATATCAAACAACCTTTCCAGTCAGAGGGAAAGAAAGACAAGTTAGCAACCAGTCTGTGGCCAGTCGTGTGACTAGTATGACGGTCAATAAAGATTCAAAGCCAATTAATGTTTTTTTATATTTACTAGAAGGCACACAGCACAGTAGATTTGTCTTTCTTTCTTTATATGAAAATTCAGGAATCTCAATCTCAATAAGGAAGAATTTGCATTAATTTAATGAAATTCCACACCTAAAGCTATTTCAATCTTTAATAATTGAGTCGCAGTGAAGTCGGGAGGAAACAAAGATTTCATTAAAAATGCAAAACCAACCTTTGAAAAGTAACCAACAAGATGGCAGCCCTTCTTGTCGTTGAGGGTGAGGACGTAGAACAGGAACGGTTCCACGTCGTAGTACAAGGTTTTATGGTCCAGGAATAGCTTGGCCAGGAGACACAGATTCTGACAATAGATCTTACTGATGTTGCCATCCACCTCGAAGACGGAGAGGTCTCCCTTGCGGTAGATCTCGTTGGCAGGCGGGTGGTACCAACCACACTTGGTCTGCAAAGATGAAAGGAAATGTCTGGTAAATGCTTGTTCTATGTTTATTTTGATATTTCTTTTTACATGTTCAATACTACCCAGCATGGAGCCCTGTGGGACTCCATACTTGGTCCTAATAATATCACTTTGCAAGAATATCATGGATGAGAAGTCTTCTGAAAAGTATTGCTCTTCAAATCCCCTCAAAGGCATATTCGAAACATCACATTAAAAAGCTGGAAAGTTAAGACCAAACCATCGTGTCACAAGAGTATACATTGTATGTGTAGACCTGTATACCTATTTCTGTGTGCAGTATAAAGGATTTTCTGCAATAATGAGTCAACATCTTGTATCTTGTATGAAACATGTTATGTTTCTTAAATCGTTCAAAGTTTTGAAATGATAATGATGACACTTTAACTATTAATGAAATCCATCGTAAACCTTCCCTCAGTGTTCTTCCTATTAACGTCCAATTACCTTTACGACGGATTTTGACACAATTCACATTCATAACCCAGTCAGTGCCCAAGTACGAAACTGACGGCTGTTTAGGGGTGTGTACATGTACGTACCATGTGCCGGACAAGAATGCTCCTGCTTTTCATGTACTTGAGACAAAACTCGCAGAGGTACAGCTTGGGAAGCCGGGAATATTCCTGAGGATACGGCGACGTGTACCACGTCTGGATCTCGTACCGTCCAAACTCGATGATGCACGGCGATCTGACGGGAGGCGGAGCATTAGGTCCTCCTGGACCTAGCTGGGCCTTGGCCGCACCCGCACCTGTGCTGGTGGAAGGCCCTGCACTGGTGCCGGCGGTGGTCGTTGCCTCAGCTACAGCAGCTTGTTCGGTTTGTCTTGATTCCTATTGATGAGTAAGTGAAACCCAGGTTAGGAGAATAGAAGCAATTTACAACACCAGTGGGAGCAAACCAAAGCTTTAGCATTCCTGCATTAACAAAATTAAACTTTTTAAAGAGGAAAAAGTCCAAACTGTTTAGAAATCACAAAACAAAACAAAACAAAAAGAAGTCCAATAATATTTAGGCAAGCATTTCCAGTTCAAATTAGCAAATCTGTATTTTTTACTGTAATATACAAATGAAAATAATGAGACTTCCTTAGAATGCTAAAACTTGTGATATACTCATGAATTACAACGCTTTGTAAAGTTTGAAATTACCTGCACAAAATACTCCTGAACAATGCATTTGAAATAACGTAAACATGAAATGAACAAAGAAATACTGAATTTAAAATGGTGGGATGGAATGCACATATGGTGTAGAAATATGAACAGTTAGTTTAAAACAGTGGTCAATGTTCCGAACTTCAGAATACATTGTCTTTAGTAAAAAATAATATTAGACAATTCAGAAGAAAAAAAGAAGAAGCTTAAACTGTTAAAAGTAAAGTATTTGGTAACATTGTTGTTCCTATAGCAGGGAGAAACATATTTAAAAACCACAATGAAAGGATTGTTGCCAAATTCAAGATGGACTGTACTTTTCAAAGTAATGCTTTCAACAGTTGTCAACAGTGGGCTTATCCTTTACTTATGGTAGAGCCATGGGAATACTAGTTTGAAATTGTTTCTTCTTAGTTGGCATTGAAGAAGTAGAACTGTTTATTATATTTTTTATTATATTGGAAGGCTTAATATTCTTTCCCAGTAATCTCACAAACTAAACTTAAACTAAGGACATCCAAGACAAATTGCTTCTCAAACCCTACACGAAGATAAACCCGCAATATAATTTCTTCCTGAAAACTGAACAGCCGTGCAAAGTTTCTCAGAAAACTCAATCAGGATGCGATTACTCATAATGGAAAACAGAGAGGCCAAGACATGTCAAGTCAAAGAAGGAGGAAAAACAGAACATCTCAAAGACATTTGAGCCTCGTTCATTCATGACATTGTAAACTGTCTCAAAATGACAACCCCAAACAAATAACACTGGTATCTGTATGAATAGCGGGTGGGGGTGAGAAAAGTACATGTACATGTAGTTGTGTCCAACTAAGGTCTGAAGCATATTAGAATTAGACGAAGCATGAGGTGAAATTATCAGTTTCAATGTTCATTATTCCATAATAAAATTAAATTCACTTGCTAACACTCGGGTAATAGTTTCCAAAAAGCTCTTTGGAAGCGCATAGAGATGTTATTTCATAACGTATTATGCGCATTTCAAGAACTGAATATTATTATCATCAACATATGGGATTTACAGTACGTCGGACTTGCCCACATACCGGTACATGTACTTTTCATGTCCTGTAAGTTAAATAATGAGTAGTGCGTTCCATTTTGCCGCACTGCACTACTTATAGCTACTTGCGCCCTCTATATAGCAAACAATGCCTAATCAGTGCCTGTTTGTCCCCGATGATCCCCCTTTTCTTATGCTAATTGAGAGCTGATATGAGATAACCACCTGTCAGTGACCTTGCAGGGAGGTCTCATCCCCCTACCCAAACTAGTGCAGACGGGCATTTAATTTTGCCACTGTTGTATTCTTTCTAAAGTGGTTAATTGCCGCCTGTATGAACAAGGCTTTATTGATGCTATTAGGAAGATGAGACACGTGTATGAATGCTCCCAAGTGAGCGGTTTCAAGAGGAAATGACCGGAGAGAGGCAGACCTGACCAGACAAGAGTGTGGAAGTCCGATTTGGAAAACCTGACCGCCCACCCGCCTGCCTGACCACCCGCCATCCATCCGCCAAACCACCCACCCGCCCGCCCACGGGTTTTAGGGGGGAAGAGAAAGATGGTTGAATTTGCACTTCTGCAGGAAACAGATGCTGAGACAATGGTGATGAGAATTGTATCTCTATCCATTATAAGCTGACACAAGTAAAGGCACGTTCACACGTTTACTGTGCTAAAATGCTACGGTTTAACGCAGGTTTTTTTTTAAATCTTCTTCTCCCCCCCCCCCCCCCCTTTTTTGTTTTGTTTAGGCATACTGTGGAATAATTCACCAGAGTTTTGAGTCCACACATTTACACTCCAAAAAACGGCAGTTTCGGCTGACGTTTCGAAGAAAAAAACAATTCAGAGGTGGGTTTTTTTTTATTCAGGTTTTTAGATGTGTTTATTGGTAGTTGCCTAGCAACTTCCAACAAAACTCCCGAATGTGAGGGAAAAAACAGCTGGATTTTGCATGCAGTGTTTGTGCTCCTACAGGCCTACAATAACACATTCATCTATAAATATTTGACATTTAAAAATTGACACAGTCTCAGATAAACTATAATTATATCCAGAAAACTGGTTTTTAATGCATCATAAATAATGCTGGTACTAAAAAGATTGTGATATAATGGAGAATTTCAATTGAGAATTTTATGACCACAAAAGTTAATTCTATGAGGCATCATTTCTTATAGTGCCCACAAAGTCAGCTGGCAAGATTTATGAATAGGCAAAGTGGAAAAATAAAAATCTGAGCATTTGGCTTTCATATTACAACGGTGGATCGAGTATCTGGGATTCTCAAGCTGGGGGTGGACATAAAGTTATCATAATTTGGGCTGTCACTTTTTTAATTGATTATTTTTTTTTTATTTATGTATATATTTATTTATCATTATTTCTTATATGCACCAGTATATATAAATATAGATATATATTTTCATTTATTTTTTTAGATTTTTTTTTTTTTTTTTTGATTTTTGATTTTATTTATTTTTTGATTTTTTGATTTTAGATTTTAGATTTTTGGTTTTTGGTGTTTTTTTTCGGGGGGGGGGGGGGAGGGCGTAAAGGCACTATCAAGGGCATATTTTCTCTTTACACTTGTTTCATTTGTATTGGGTCTTGCAAGAGGGGCACACCCCAACCCCATTTTGCCAATGGATGAATGCATGCTTTTATGATGAGATGTGGCTAAGGTATGATAAACCATGGCATATACATGACTTACTTCGTCTTACTGTTGATTATTGAGCAATAAATGGTACCACCTTCTGTGTCTGGTTCAAGGTTTACCAACAAACAATGAGTCTTAATCTGAATATGCAAACAATTTTTGCCACCACTGTTTTGATAATGTTTGCACTATGATTGGAAAGTTGACATTCGCATGTCATACTGTAATATTTGATTAACAGAATTGAAAAAATAATTTAGTTGAGCATGAAGTGGTATGGCACAAAGTCCTGTCAAATAAATCAAACGATCAGACATTAATTTCAAACTAATTCCATCTACTAAACAGAAAGAGGGAGTGACACGATAGAGCAAAAGACAATAGTATAAATCATTTAATACAACAACTCTCATGGAATTTTCATTTCATTTAAATGTAAAATGAACATTTTAACATGAATCACAAAATATATGAGCTTGTTAAAACAAGAGTAAAAGTCAGTGCTTTTCCATGTAATAATGAATTTCCTGTGCCATGTTTAGGTATTGGCAATACAATTTAGCAATAAACATGACTCTGTGAAGTTAATGGCTACAATTTTAACTGCTTGTACCTACGTGTCCTAGCATGACTATCAAAGAGATAAATATGGGAATGCAAGAAAAGGGACAAAAAGTGAGAGGTGTAGTGGGGCAGTGATTCGCTACCTTGAACATCAGTACCAAAGAAGTGACAGAAGGCATCAAAATGTAAGAGAGTGAACAAAAGGGGAAATAGAGACAGTGAGAGAGACAAATATCAGAGAGATAGAGCTTAACACAGAAAGAGACAACGGTAGTACATAGACATGGGTAGAATAAGATGGGATGGCAGAGAGAGAGAGAGGAGAGGAGAGAGAGAAAAGGAGAGGAGAGAGAGATAGAGAGATAGAGAGATAGAGAGAGAGAGAGAGGGATACTCAGAGAGAGACAAGCATAGGGAGAGAGAGAGAGAGTAAAGGACACAGACAGATGGAGAGACAAACAGAGAGAGAGAGAGAAGAAAAATGGGGGGAGGGGTTACATGATTCTGACCTGCCTCTACTTCAGTGACAAAAGGATGAGTCACTCAACATTAAAAAAAAATGAGTCCAATGTAGCTTAGAGGACAAATAAACAACCAATGAGGGAGCTTCACAATAAGACTTCTCGAAAGATGAGAATAATTGCAAACTGTTGCTCTCCCCATATTTCCAGTCACAGTGCATCTCCACAAATTACATGCTTAGTGAGTCATTCTAAAATGAAGGGTATATTTTGGATGCAAGTCACTTTTCAAACTGTTATTATAATCAGTGGGCGTTTAATGAACCAATTAGTCAGTGGTTTTCACCGACTTATACCATTTTCACTGACAATTATATTGTCACCAACTATTTTCCAGGCCTCTAATTGGTCAAATGTAGTCATCGCTGGCAGTGGTCGGTAGACAAATGTTGATGAAATGCCTCCCAGATGTGAACCTCACAAAATGAATTGACAAATGAGAATCATTATGCCCTTATCATATATTTATATATTAATCCTTTTTCAATCTCTTTATAGCTTATAAAAATTGAATTTCTGCATCCTTGTGTGACTAAAATCTTTATTAACTACATGTAGCTCTGATCGTCATTTCAAATGTCACAAGTACAGACAAAAATCTGCAGATGTAAAACAAAATCAATTTCATGAACTCCTGTATGTGAACAGGTATACAATTGAGAATACTCAATTCATACCTCAAATTTCTGATGTGAATGGACCTCTACCTATGAATGATTATGGCTCTGACCCGAGTGTAGATTCCCCAACTAATTTCCCATTTTTCGGTGGCCTGCCGATGTAGCACAAGGGTAAGACAATACCACACGAGGGAGCCGACACTTTAGTTGCGTCTCAGTAGATCGCCCTTGCCTGCCATACATACAAAGGTCGTGCAACGCCAGGAGGAGGGTGAATATGAT